AATGAGGTCTCGTTTCAGGATATATGTTCCATGAAGTGTCCCCCTTGAGGAGCAGCCAGAGGATCAGAGACCTGTATCCTTGATGAAGGAAGAACTGTAGCAACAGGGAAGTCACTATTTCTCAAGTTTGGAAGCTGCTGTTATTATTAAGTACTCTCATCAAGGATCTCTTCAAGCTACTGATGGCATTCTATGACAACAAAGGCTTGTGTTAATTTCCTTTTTACTTCCAAGCAATACTAATGTCTTTATTAAGAAGTGTGTGATGATCTTTGTTGTCTAAAGCTTCCAATGGAATGCTATTAATCTTATCCTTTATCTTCTTCTAGATATACCAAATCAAGCATTTTGGCCAAATTCAGTAGATCGAACCAAATTAAGCCAAGATGAAATAAGTTTGTTCTGAAAAAAAGAAAGAACATAGTGTTCACAAAAGTACAAAAAATTTCATTTGGGCTTTCAGTGATTTGGTGTGCATAATTAAGTTCACACAAGTTCTGTAGAATAAAACTGAAGTATTAATCTCATCAAATTCATTACTTTTATCCCTTGTACTTTTTTTTTGTCAAAAAATAAAATTAAAAAAACATATACTTAAGTTTACATGATAAGTTGATGTTTAGCCTATATTTTTTCAATATTTCATTACAATTGTGATCAAAATTATTTTTTATATATTTCAAAGGCAACTCAGCACCTGACAACTGATTCATAAAGGAACAATTTTTTATTTTTCTGCATCTTGTGTGAGAAAAAAAATCATGGTATCTATGAATATCCATTGTTCCAAGTGGGTTCCAACTGAAACCATTACCAATCTAAACAGTAGCAAACAGGGCAAACTAGGACTCATATTCCAAGAGTAGTCTCACTATATGCTGAATATTACTGTCCACTGAAAGATGACCCACCAGATGTCTGTCCTTTGAGCCCTCGGAAGGTGGCCAGTACAATCACCAAGCATTGAATCATTCCTTCCCCATCTTTCCACACAAAAATTGTGCATCTCCTCAGAGACATCACCATGCATGGGCTCCACATGGAACTCTGGATGCTGTAGAATCTTATGAAAAGCCACCACTGCTGCAGTGGATGGTGTGGTGGCCACAGGGCAAGAACAGTCCATGGTCAAACTCACATGAGATCTGCTTTTTGTTGTTTTAGCTGCCCAAAGAATATTTGATCATTATCAGGTATCTAAATGTAGTGGTAGCATCTTATCATGCGTTTTGACACGAGAAATCTTTTTCCAAAATAAAAATGAATTAAATTGCAAGTGGGAAATAGAAAAAATGTCCATGAAGGAGGGAAGCTGTGGACTCGTATAAATAGCCATAGATAAAAAAATTTGATTAACATGTGAGGAAAATAAAGGTAGACATTATTGCCAAAGTGGCCCATGCAAACAGGTTTTACATGGTTGATGGGGCAGTGGATCGACTTGCTTACCCAAGTTACTAAATTGTTACCTTTGTGCAGTATGTAATGTATGTGACTTTTGAGATGGGAAGTCACATATGTGTACTAGAGTACTTTAAGCAAAAGTACATTTTGAGATGGGAAAGGATGTGGGGTGGTTCATGTTGTTCCAGCATCACATTAAGCTGTACAGCTCTTGTATGATTAAGATTCCTTAAAGATCCTAAAAGTGATATGGCCTTTGTTCATAAATTAAATTCATCAATCAATAGAAAAGTCAGACTCATGTATGGATGTTCTAGAGAAGCTGCTCAGAAGAAGCTTCCTAGTGAAGGTCCAAAAGTTTTATGCATAAAACTCTAAGATAATTAACCTTCTTCAGTAATATTAATGAAAGATGGAATAATGAAGAAAGGTTAGGGTGTGCTATAATATGCGACAAGCAGAAAATAAACCACTTTCCATTCGGAAAATTTTAACATAAGAGACACACAGGTGAAACAAAGAACATATAGCATCCTATCTCTTAAGATGACACATCAAACTTGTTAACAGGATCTACGTAAGCTGCAACTACTTTGATAGCTTAACACAATGAGAGTGACTTACCAACAACCCAAGATGCATTATCTCATTGCGGACTTAAGCTTGAAGTCTGCCATGTACTGCTTTTCTTTTCAGCTTCATATATGGGAATAGAGTCAGCCTTCAACCATCTTACAAGGAAAAGAGACAACCAAGTTACTTTCTTATGTGTAAAGCATGTTCCAATTGACTGCTACTTGACGGCCCTCCAAAAATAAAGACAGTGATTTCAGTCAACAAAAAATGATGGGGATGATTTTGACATGTTATCTTACAAATATGCAGTGTATTTGCCTCTGTAACAAATATGTCCCTCAAATATGACGATCCTTTATGTATATACCTCTGGTTAATGCTCATGTAGATAACTCATGTTAACTGGTATTAATTGTGACCACCAATACATAGTTTAAGTTAAAAGAATATTAACATTTAAAATGTCCTTAACCTTCAATCACTAGGGACGAAAGATAGATACCTAAAAAAAGAGGAAAAACATTTATCAGATGTTTTGGCACCAATTAGAGTTTCAACGTCGTTAGATAGTCAACTGTGATCAAGTGATCGTGATAAACTATAAAGCATATATGTAAGTTTTCAGGTTTTATATATATATATATATATATATATATATATATATATATATATATATATATATATATATATATATATATATATGGGACGAAAGATAGATACCTAAAAAAAGAGGAAAAACATTTATCAGATGTTTTGGCACCAATTAGAGTTTCAACGTCATTAGATAGTCAACTGTGATAAAGTGATCGTGATAAACTATAAAGCATATATGTAAGTTTTCAGGTTATATATATATATATATATATATATATATATATATATATATATATATATATATATATATATATATATATATA